AATATTATTTAGAACATAGCCAGCATGCGTTGGCAGTTCATAATAATTTTTACTCCAGCACACGTTTTCATAAGCGCCTCTGGGAAGAAAGACGAAGAACCATTATAGTCAAATACATGCATTTGACATTGTGGTATATTAATATTATTTAAAAACTAGCCAGCATGCGTTGGCAGTTCATAATAAGTTTTACTCCAGCACACGTTTTCATAAACGCCTCTGGGAAGAAAGACAAAGAACCATTATAGTCAAATACATGCATTTGACATTGTGGTATATTAATATTTAAAAAATAGCCAGCATGCGTTGGCAGTGTTTTCTATACTCACGTTAGTACAGATGATAGTCTAATGGAGAATCCCATAACACGAAATAATCACAATATACCGCAATTGATTACAACACAATATAAATGTAATACATTACAATGGATATTACGTAATTTATTACACTATAATGTAATATTACGCAACAGATGCAACATAAATATTCACTTTATGGATTCTGCACTAAAATTTTAAAAGTTTTACTTGTATTGTGTTGTAATGAAAACTTTGGTAAAAAAACACGTGCTCTGCAAAACGATTTATTTTCAAGTCGTTCTATGATAGTGCAAAACGCAATTGCAGTCACAAATCTCGCGGAAGTGACCAATCGTGTTGCAATTGAGTGATTTGACAGATGCAATTGATCGATTTCGTGAGACTTGCGTTTGCTTTCTGCAACTACTATAAAACGATCTTTATGTTTGTTTGTTTTTTTTATGTAGTCTTTTTAACGTGCCCAATGACCGTCGTGGCGATCTTTGCGAGCACAGTTGCCTTCTTCCCCCCACGTTGACTTGCACCTGCACTTTATTTACACCACTCTGTCTATTGATCTTAGAAAATAGTATGAAGCCTTAATTGCTTCCCACTCCCATACTCGCAGCCATTTCCATATATCCAGTGGGTAGCTCGCACCTAACCTATCCAGAACTTCGCGATAGCCTATTCTTTTTTCGTCATATATTGCACAATTAAACAATATGTGGTTGATAGTTTCCACCTCTGCTCCGCACTGGCATCTTGGTGATGTTACATAGTTTTTCCTAGCTAATGACTCACCTACATTAAAGTGATTTGCTCTCAGTCGGTTGACAAACGTTATTAGTCCCCTACTCACATTTTTTCCTGCAAACCACGGTGTACTTTCTTTTTGAATAAAGAACTCATTAAAATACTTTTGGCCTTTTATTTCTGCCTCCCTTACTATTTCCCCCTCTGTTTCCTGTTTCAATTGTCCCGCTACTTCTTCCTTAATGTCTTTATGTGGTACTTTATACTTTGTCGTATCCGTTGTTTCACTTGTTGTAGCTTGTTTTGCCATCTTGTCTGCCTCTTCATTGCCGCTTACTCCAACGTGGGATGGTGTCCATACCAACAATACTTCTACCTCCAGTTTACTTATTAGCCATATCTTATGTCTAATTTGTACTACATAAGGATTTATATGCACCGTAATATCACAGTTTGTTACCGCGTTGACTAGACTCTCTGAGTCACTACATATAAATACGTGTGTCCTTTTTCTTAGAGATCCTTCTTTTATTTTTTGTTCCACTAACAGAACGGCTTCTAGTATTGCCACCGCTTCTACCGAGTAGATGGTAAACATTTTTGGTGTTGTGTACCCTTTTTTAAAATTTTTTTCTGGCCACACTACTGCTGCACCAGTGCACTGTGCTTGTGTGCTTTTTGAACCATCTGTATAGATGAAAGTTGTTTCCCACTCCTCTCTACCATATTTTTCCACTATTTTTGTTACCATTTCTTCGTTTGTGATCTTTTTTAATTTTCTTAACGCTCCTAGTTCTTTTTCTTTTTTTATAACCATATTCTACATGTCATAGCTAGTGTTATACACTTCGTATCCTCCTGTCCATAGGTCTTTTGCGTGCTTTTTTAACTTATTCCATGCTTTATACAATACGCTACCGTCTCGCCCTGGGTTTCGTAACATTTCTCGTCTTTCCCTCCTACTCATTCTATCCATTACCCTTTCCGTTTCTTCTTTGTCTATCACCAGTTTTTTGCTCAAGAACGAAACTGCTAGGTATTCTGCTCTATGTTTCATTAGCATTACCTTGCTTTCTCCTATCATAACATTCGTTGGTGTGCTGTTTCTGTATCCTAGCGCTGTTCGAATTCCAACAAACTGGGCTTGTTCCACTTTATATCCTATCTTCTTCTTACTCGGGTAGTACAAAAATATTGCATAGTCCATTACTGACCTTACTAGGCTCTTGTATAATATCACAGCCGTATTGACCTCCATTCCCTCGCTTACCTTATTACACATTTTTAGTATTCTGTTTGCCATAAGAACCCTTTTCTTAACTCGACTAACTTGTTTTTCCATATTGCATTCCTCGTCAAACAGAATTCCTAAAAATGTGGCTTCTTTTTGACTAGTTATTGTCGTGTTTTGTACCTTCATTTGTACTCGTCTTCTTCTTCCCTCTGCTTTGCCGAATTCAAGTAGTGCTGTTTTTTCCGGTTGTAGGTCTAGTCCTATTTTCTTCAAGTTCTCCATTACCGTTTCGACACTTCTTGATAGTTTTTCTATCGCTGTTTCTATGTTGTCTACTCTTGTATACATTGCTATGTCATCTGCAAACTGTCTTACTTGTATATCTTTCTCTACTCCCTTCACCACCTCTTTTGTATATATCGAGTACAATACTGGACTTAATACCGCTTCCTGCGGTAGTCCTTTCCACACCTTGCGGTGTACAGATTCTCCTGTTCCAGTTATGAATTCTACGTCACGTCCTTTGAACCATTGTTGTATAAATTTGTTTATCTTCCAAGGGCACTTGTATTCCTCTAATTTTTTAACACATATATCGCCTAGGACATTATCATAGGCTGCTGACACATCCAAGAAAGCCGCCAGTGTTTTTTTCCGTTTTCATTACTATCTTGTATGTATGTTTTTAAATCGAACACATTCTCTGCACATGTTCTTCCCTTCCTGAATCCTCTCTGGGTTTCATGGATTATCCTTTTCTTTTCTGTCCACCACGTAAGTCGTTCATTTACTAATCTTTCCATTAGTTTACCTATACACGATGATAGCGATATAGGTCCGCACCTTTTCTTTTCCAGGTTTGTCTATGAATACTACCTGATATTCTCTCCATTGTCTTGGTGCTTCTCTGTCATTAAATACTTTGTTATACAATTCTAGAAGTTTGTTTTTTCATTCCCACGGCATTTCTTTGATCATTTTATACTCTATGTTGTCTCTTCCCGGTGCTGACTTGCTTTTTGTTCTTCGTAACACTCGTTCCATTTCTATCCATTGAAATTCTTTATTCATCTCTTCCTCCATGTCTTCTTCTTCTTCTCGTTCTTCTAGTTCCCTTTCTTGTTGTTCCGCCCATCCTGGTGACAATTTTTCTATGTTGTCTAGTATTTCTTTGTTTCTATCCTTGTTTTGCCATTTATTCCAGTCTATCACATGTGGTGGCTTTCTCAATGCCCTTATCTTATTCCACACGTATTTCATACCTGTATTTTTATTTATTGACCTGGCGAATTTTCTAAATCCTTCTCGTTTTTTGAAGCGTAACAGTTTCCTTGCTTCCGCTCTAGCCTTTTTAAATGCTATTAGGCTACTTATCGTTTTTTCTCTTTTAAAATGTTTTTGTTTTAGTCTTCTATTGTCTATTGCCTCCTTACATTCATTATCCCACCAACAACACGGGTTTTTATTATGTTTATTTGACTTATTCGTCTCTTTGTTGTTGTTCACATCCTTCTGTTGTTGGTTTCTTTTTATTTTTTCTGATGCTAGTCTCGCTGCTTCCTTGATTTCTTCACAAAATATGTCGTAGTTTTCTTGTCTAACTGTCTTTGTCCAAGATATATTCTCCACTATCTCTATTCTGCTTTCAAGTATTTCTTGGTATTCTTCCCAGTTTGTCTTTTTATTTGTGATTCTGTTAGATCGTTTTCTATATTGTTGTGGCGCCATTCCAATAGTAATTTCTATCGGATAGTGGTCTGATCCCCATGTATCTCCGATTATTTTATACTCTATTAAATGTGTTATTGCATTTCTTGCCCACACTAGGTCTATGTTTGAATCCCTTTGACCAATGTCTCCTAACCTTGTTATTGTATCAATGTTTACAACTATCATATTTTCATCTTCCATTTCTGTCAATAGTGCTTCCCCTTCGGCGTCTTCTATGTCACAATTCTATATTGGGTGATGTGCATTAAAATCCCCCATGATAATGACGTTGTCTTCTTGCTGTACCTTCCTCAATAGCTTTGTCCACATTCCTTTTTTAAAAGGCACATTGTGTTGTCTATATATTCCTATTATTGTAATAGTTTTTGTTTGTTCAGCTACATTTACATTTTCTATCGTTATTGCCACTGTCTCAATTCCTTTGACTAAATTCTCTATATCCTTTCTTTGTTTATATTTTAGGTTTTTTCTTATAATTATCATTACTCCTCCTCCTTTTTTACTTCCCTGTCTTACTTGATTAATCACGTGAAAGTTTTTCAAATTTACTTTATACGTGTTCTTAAGCCAGGTTTCGTTTATAACTGCTATGTCATATCTCATTTTGATGTAACTGAGGACCTCATCTTGTTTTGACTTCCACCCTCTCGCATTCCAGCACACTGCTTTAATATTGTTGTTGAGTCCCCATTTGTTCTTCTGTGTGTGTGATGTTGTTGGATCTGGAGTATTTCTTGCTGTTGTTTTTCCTTTGGTTTTTTTTTGTTTAGCTTGCATTATAAAACGATATTGTTTTTCTAAGGTCGGTCTCAGTAAAATTCTGGACCGTAGTTCCATTCCTCTTCTTCTCGTCTTTCTTGTCTTCGTTCTTCTCTTTCATCTATTTCTCTTCTTCGTGGGTTTTGTCTTACTCCGTGTATTGGTGTTGGTATGTACTCCCTTCTGTCTGATATTCTTCCCCTACCTCTATATATGTTATAACTAAATCTATTTCCTGCTCTGCTTCCTGCGTTTAGTTCTCGTGTCATTTTTAATGTTTCTTCTACTGCTTTTTGCACTAGCTTTCTTTCGTTATATGTCATATACGTTTCCATTTCATCTCTTATTCTGACAACTATTCTTTCTATTTGTTCCCGTGTACTTAGAGCTTCTTCTCTCTCTCTCCTTTCTCTTTTTTCTTCTTCCTCCTCCTCGGTTTCACTTTCTTGTTGTCTTGTCTCTACTGAGGGGGCCCACTTTACCTTTCTACTGCTTTGTTGTGGTTCTTTCTTTCCCTGTTCTTCACTTCTTTTGTTATCTTGGTTTTTCTCATATTTGTCTCTTTGTAGTTCTTTCTCTTTATTCATTTCTTCCCTTATTACCTTCTCGTTTCTTTTTTCACTGTCTCCTTCTTTACTTGTGCTTGGTTTGTTGCCAGCTTCCTTTTCTGGCTCCTGTCCGTTTTTCTTTGCTCGGACTATGTCTGCATACGAGATGTCATACCTAGTTCTTATGATGGCCTCCTCTGCTGCCATCCTTCTGGCCTCATGTATATTGACCTGATTTTCTGCCATTTTTCTTTTTAACTCTTTATTGAATTTGAGTTCCGTACATTCTTTGCTTGTCGGCAGATGGTTTCTTCCGCAATTTATGCACCGTGTTTTCCTTTCACATCTTCCGTGATAGTTTTGTCCACAATTAATACATCGCTTTGGTCTTTTACACCACTTTTTGAAGTGTTCGTACTTAAAGCAATTAAAGCATTGTCTAACTTCTTCCACAAAGGGTTTTACTGCCACATTCATCAACCCTTCGTACAGTCTGATTCCTCTTGGGAGGACGTTATCTGAGAACGTGATCAGTATCGCCTTGCATTTCCTCCACACTCTCCTACCTTGTTCCCTGGAATAGTACGTTTTTACCATTCGTTCTACTTATAATATATTGTCTGTTTTTTCCATCATCGTTATTAATTCTTCTATAGTGTCTTCTATCGGCCAATCGTATATAACTCCCTTTGTCTGCATTGAACTCGCATCGAGTTTGTATGTTATATCCGTGTCCTTGCTCGCTCCTCCCGCTATATTTCTGTCCAGGCATTTTTGTGCTGCCGCTGTCGACATAAAGGTTAGCATTACTTTTGTGGGGCTTACCGGTAGGACTTTTGTGGGTTTTAACCTATCTTTTTTGAGAATTGCCACTAATCTCAATGCCTGTTCTGTTTTTAACCCTACTTTCGATTTTCTTTCATTACCGACTGTTTGACTTCTAAGGGGGATATGGGCCATTATTTTAATTTCTCCTCTCATATCTCTAGGTACCTTATCTCTTTCTGTCTTTTCTTTTCGCAATTCGCCTTCTTTTTCCTTACCTCTTATTGTCAGTTCTTTGCACAATTTGCCGTTATATCGAACCCACTTTTCCCGCGCTTTTTCTATCGCACTTTCTTCGTCCTTCATTGAGTTTCCTTTGCTTTGTCCCTCCTCCTCTTCTTTTTCCTGCTCATTGACATCACTTTCCTCATTAATATTGTCATTTGTTGTTATTTCAACACCCATTTTCTCTTTTTTTTTGTTGTTTAGCTACTTTATTTTGTGTCTGCTCACCTTGTTCGCTATCAGTTCTACTAACCTCTCTTTTTCGTTTTCTGTCTACTTCCACTTCCATATCCATTTCCTCCTTCTCACACACTTTTCTCGCTATTTCGTCTAACTGTTCTTCCGTCATCCTGCTTTCTTCTTTTTTGTACATTTTTTTGTACTTGTCTTTTGTTCTCGTTGTTGGCGGGTTTTCACCCCCGCCCCCCTCACCTCTCTTCTCCCTCCTTACTTTTGTTTTTCTTTCCTTTTCACCGTCCCCCTTCCTAATTTTACTTGTTTTTTACTTTCTGTACTCACCAGCCCCTCTCAGCTGATGGATTTATCCCTCTTTTCCTCTCTATCCTCCCTAAAACCCTCGGTAAATCGCACTTTTACTCGCACTCTACTCTCTGTGATGCTATGCTCACAGCGCCCACTCTCGGAGTCTGATCTTTATGTTATAGCATATGATAGCAGATATGAATCATTACAAGAATCTCACTTTCTCATCCATTAGATGTGCAAATCATAATCGGATTGTCTCATTGTATTCTTTTTTGTCGTACTTTTATCGCTAGCTAAGTTTAAATACGTTGCAACACTTTTTTTTTCCGAAGAGCTGCAATGAGAAAAAGTGACTCGCCTCCGCTGTGTGAAATGTCACCGATCGGGTGAGCCCGAACGAGAGCTGAACACCCGGAACCGTCAATTAATTTTATGTTGTGATTTGGGCGCCAGGCACGTGTTTCACGTGCCGATTATGTGACGTCCCGTCGCTGGTATTTAGGACGGCTAGCTCGATTACTCCGAACAGAGAGGGGCGGGGTACACAAGTTAATAAAAAAAAGGAGAATACGCCACGGGGAAGATTAAATAAAATACGCGAGAATTTAAAATGAAGATTCACGAAGTAGAATTTATTACGTCGATATGCAAGAATTATCACAAGAACGATTTTACAGAAGAAAGTTCAATATAGTCAGCGTTCTTTGCCGAATTCTATCGCGCGAGAAGGCTTCAGCTGTTTTTGTGTAAATTTCGGAGTCGCGTGCGCTAGACACCGCGCCGGTGTTTACGCGACTCGGCGAGCCGGGTCGTTGACCGGATTTACACTCGCGTCTGATCAGCTGTTTGCCTGTTTTGAACGACGATAACCAGCGTTACAGACTTCGCCGGTTCTCCGCTCTCTGAATTAAACTAATACGCGATCGCTCCTTAACAAATGCCGATAGCCTTTCTGTGGTCACTTCGATTCGAGTCGATAGCACCCGTCGGTCGCGATATAGCAATCGTCACCTGTGAGCAGCCTATCACTCTCACGGCTCCGGGAAAGCCTGCCGCGGAATTCGTTCTTTTTTATTCGGGCGCAGCGCACGTGTGCGCGGTTCATACGCGGTACCGAGAATTCGCCTCGCGCGATCTCCGATAACTGTAACGCGTGACGATAGCACCCGCACTTTCCACGTAACAATTTCAAGAGTTTTTCCTCCGGGGCGCGTGACCGTTCGATAGCTGAGGTGGCGGGTAATCCACGCCTTAATGACGTATGCCGATAACCGTTATTCGTCGCTCGATTGCGACTGCTCGCTCCACTCGAAAAACCCGAATAATGACTATATTTTCGGACGGGGCACTCCGGTCCCCTACGCGACAGTGTGGGCGACACAGGGCCCTCGAGACAACACAAATAAAAGTTATAACGCGAGTGGCGCAACAATTAGAGTAAGTTTCGGCTTCG